GTTCCTAAAAATGAATCCCCAATAAGCAAACGCAATTACATTAAGACACAAAAATTCATCAAGAACATATTAGAATCGTAAAATTTTGAACCTTTGGGGGAGGAGGAACAGGAGCGGGCATGTCCCAAGCCAATCGAGGCCGTTTCCTTGGTCGTTTATCCATATTTTTGTGAGGAAATTCCAAGATCCTCTGCGTCTCCATCCCGTAACACGATTTACGAAATTAAGCTTTGGAAATATATCCCGATTCACATGAAGTTATGCAAAAATCTGTTTGTGAAAAATCGAGGGATTCGCAGGAACCCTAGATTTAATTGAGATGGAGAAAGAAAGCTAACAATGGAGATGAGGCAGAAAGTAACCATGGTTGAGTTAAAATCTTACCTCCATGGTTAAGCTTTGGCACGTGATTACTCTCTTTAGCGGCACGTGACGTGAGTACCGAGAGTTCTTTTTCTTTTATCTTTTTGGAGTATCGACAGTTAGCGACCCATCTTGCCGTCCAATGAGGCAATGGCCATATCGAGTAATTGGGCCTGCTCGATTGTTATTTCTCCTTAAATTCCAGCTAATATTCCCTATTAAACTCAACACTTTATAGACAACCATTTTTATTGATAATGTTTTTGAGCAAACATGTAAATTTTATTTCGAGATAATTTCGGATAGAAACATAGAAGTGTCAACAAGGAAACATATATAGTTGGATAAGGCTATACCACGCGGAGAGTGGCAAAGACAATGACATCATATGTGGCAATGACACGTCATTGATAGCGTGGCAAATAGCCCATCTATCTTCTCCCTTGTTGTGGCATGTCCATGGACAATGGCACCATTTTTTTTCTTTGGTAATTTAAATGAAGTTGAGACGGAAGGGTTTGTCATATTATTTTCATGGCACCATTCTATTTAGCTTATAACACCGAAACCTTGGATCAAACGTTCTAATAGGTTGTAGACAAACCATGTCTATTATGCGGTTACGTAGGAATGACCCATAAGTATTTTTTGTCTATATCTTACAAAATGTTTAAGTAGTTAATGTGTTGGTGTGATTGTAATGACTACTAGATCATAATAATCATATTTATTTTTTGAATAAATAATTTCATAAATATTTTGTATTAAAAATACAATTTATTTGACCAAGTTATGTAGAGTTTTCTTAAAAAAAAAAGATAGTACTTAGATAAAATATTTATTAAATTGATGCAGTTTTGTGTTTATTTACTAGAACGTAGTAATTTAAATGAAAAGTGTTTTATGATTAATTCTTAATTTTTTTTTCTTCTAGAACACTGGAACATTTCGTCGGAGTTGCACCATGTTTTCAAATTTAATGTTTTTTTTTAGTAAATTACACGAATGGTCCTTATGGTTTGCGGTAATTTGCACGTTTGGTCCCTAACTTATTTTTTTAACTCGAGAGGTCCCTACTATTTGTTTTTGTTATGCGTTTGGTTCATAATGTTTGTTTTTGTTACGCGTTTAGTCCCTGTCTTACCTAAAAGACTATTATTTAAATAGGAAAAAATTATGGGGTAGGTAAGATAAGGTGAGTGGGGTGAGGTTGCGGGTATGTTTATTCAAATAGATTAAAAAATCAAGGGCAAAATAGTCTTTTTAGGTAAGGCATGGACCAAGTGCGTAACAAAAACAAACAGTAGGGACCTTCCGAGTTAGAAAAATAAATTATGGACCAAACGCGTAAATTACTCTAAACCATAGGGACCATTCGTGTAATTTACTCTTTTTTTTTCTTTACGACCACATTCCCTATTTTCTCCCTTGTTGTGGCACGTCAATGGACAATGACATGTCATTGATAGTTTGGCAAAGAGCCCCTCTATCCTCTCCCTTGTTGTGGCATGTCAATGGACAATGGCACCATTTTTTTTTTTTTTTGCTTTTTTTGCTTTGGTAATTTAGGTGGAGAGGTGAGGTGGAAGGCTTTGTCATACTATTTTCATGGCACCATTCTATTTAGCTTAAAACACCGAAACCTTGGATCAAACGTTCTAATAGGTTGTAGACAAACAATGTCTATTATGTAGTTATGTCGGAGTTGCACCATGTTTTCAAGTTTAATATTTTGTTTCGTTACAACCACATCCCCTATTTTCTGATGGAACTAATCACGGATCGATACATGTTAATAAAAGTTCAATTAATTGAAAACCCTGGAATAGTTTGTGTCAATAAATTGAAAACTCATAAATTGATGTTGGTCGTCAACCCTAAATCGATAAACTTGTGAAGTCGATAGTTAGAGGTTTAAATCCCCTCATTTCTTCTTTGTTTCTTTTTTTATTTTATTTCTTCTTATTTCTATGTCGTCGAATATAATGAATGGAAAATTAAAATTCAATTATTGTACTTTTAGTTGTTGAGATGAAGACAGAGAATACAAGTAAAAACATCGTACATTCCTTTGATTATTTATTTTGGTGATTGTGGCTTGTGGGGTAAATCTTATTAAACGGGTTTCAAGTTCTAGATGTTGTAAGTAAATAGTTCACTTATATTAAGATGGATGTTCATCGGATAAGAATTGGTTCAAATGATAAGTTTGATATATCAACAATATGCATTAAGTGTAGATATCGTTCTTCATCTTGTATTCTTTAATATTTCTAAGGTACCATATATAATCCACCTAAGTGGATTATATGATGCTTTGTGAGATTTCAATAGCTAAACCGCTATTATTGTAAGTGCTTGAGTTAATTTCAGGATCTAATGAAACCCAAAAAAAAAAGCTAAACCTTTAGTTGCTTTAGTTATTTTCCACATAAGATGAAACCCAAAATTCAAATGCACATTCCACACAAAAAAGAAAGAAAAGGGTTTTCGATGTTCATGTTTCATATCATATCCGTTTTTTATTTCAATATATTTAATTTTGGGTTTTGTCTACATTTTGTTCGTCTTTAGTTTTAGAGTTTATTGTAGTTGTGTAATTAAAACCAGGAAACAAAAAATTGAGATGAATCTTATGTTCGGAGAAATAAAATAGGGATTGTGAGTTATTAGTGGTGGCGGTTTAAAAGATTTGAGGAGAGAATAATATAACAAGGAAGCAAAGAAAAGATGGAATATGGGTAAAAATATATTTTCATATGCATCTAATAACTAAAAGTATATAAAGTTAGCCAAAACGATGAACCGTGTAAGAGTTTGAAACCACATGGTATATTGGTGCAACGAAGTCAAACATTGTTATGAGCATGAGACGTTTTAGAAACCGTATGGACCAATTATGAAATTTTGTTTAAATATTAAAAAAGATAAGTTTTCCATTCCAATAGTTTTGACTATTGAGTGGTTTAATGAATAGATATAAGTGATAAACTACTATCATCAAGTTGCTTGAAGATCTAAATCACATTTTTTCTTTTTAAATTTGCTTATTTTTTAAAACAAATCATGAGTACTTATTCCAAATGTTTAAAATAAATATGTATATTAAGCATATAAGAGTACCTCATGAAATTCTTTTTTTAAGCCTAGCAAGACATACACAATAATGATGCATAACAATATGGTTCAAACAAGTACCATTTATATTGTTATTTTGTTATATTTTCTATTACCTTTTAAATTTTGATATAATTAATATAAATGCGTTTTCTCATATTTTAACATTTGTCAAATAAGTTTTTTTTTAAATTAATCAAAATAGTTAACAATAATATTAATCAAAAATTATATTTAGTTATAACTTTCCAGCTAGATTCTATTGAGATGATCTGATTATAAATTTTATTTAGATTCGTTAACCATAATAATTATAATAATTAAAAAGTAATATTAAATCAATTTTTTTTAGAAAAAACATCATAAATGGTCCCTGTGGTTTCCCAAAATCTGAAGTTTAGTACCCGTGGTTTAGAAACGTCATAGTTGGTCCCTGTGCTTTCAAAACTTTTGACAGTTGATCCTTATCCCTAATTCCGTTAAATTTTGTCCGTTAATTGAAGGTCATTTTCATCATTTCACTACCACAGGGACCATTTATGATGTTTTCTCTTATTTAAAAAAAATGAAATAAATGAAATAATACTCTCTCTCTCTCTCTCTCTCTCTCTCTCTCTCTCTCTTCCCGATCAACACACACAAACACACATTAACAACCATGAAATACCTAACCTAAATCTTCAACACCTTCAACTAAATGTTTCTGAAAATCGGGAGAGTGTAAGTACAAGGAACTTGAGTAACTACAATGGATTTAAGGATTTGAAATCGAACCTTAAAGATTACCCAACGTACACACAACACACACACATAGACTCGATTAATCTTCGACACTCTCCATCACCGACAAAACCCCTTCATCTCTGACAATCCCCTTCCTCCACTTACACATCTACAGATTACACACCTAAAATCAATACACATACAAACTTACAGATCTAGAAATTGACACACACACTTATGATTGGTTTGGGGAAGAACATCGATCGATTCCTATTCGATAGATGCAGGGCATCTACACTTGGATAATTCTTCAAGATATGCAGTGCATCTACACTTTGATTCTTCTTCAAGATCTTCGATTGAATCCACTTTGTCACTTTTAGGTTTAAGTGATCGAAGTAGGATGAAAGGCGGTCAGATTTGGCTATGGAGATGAAGGAAACGAGCATGAGGGGGAAGAAAAAGAAGGAAGAACCTGAAAGTCATTGATCGAAGAAAAAGAAGGAAGAACGTGGAGCAATCACTTCATTTAATTGTCAAGAAGATTGGGGGTTTAAAAGGATCTTACTGGTCTGATTATAGCTTTTTTGTTGCAAATTGAAAGCCCAAACTTTCTAGGTAACAAAATCAGAATTCTTGTTTGGATATTTAATATTGAGGATTTTGTAGTAGCTTTTCAATATATTTTTCTGGGGTTCCTCTAATCTTGAAACAAGGATTAACATCATGCTGTGCGTTTTCAAATTTTCAAGTGTATGTGTGTGTTTGGAGTTTTTGAAGAAGGGTGAGGGAGGAAGATGATGGGGGTGATGCTGATATTTTTGGCTCGTGTGTGTGTATGTGTGTGTGTGTGAGAGAGAGAGAGAGAATATTATTTCATTTTTTTTTATTTTTTTTAAATAAGAGAAAACATCATAAATGGTCCATGTGGTAGTGAAATGACGAAAATGACATTCAGTTAACGGACAAAACTTAACGGAGTTAGGGATAAGGACCAACTGTCAAAAGTTTTGAATGCACAGGGACCAACTATGACGTTTCTAAACCACGGGTACTAAACTTCAGATTTTGAAAAACCACAGGGACCATTTATGATGGTTTTTTTTTTTTTTTTATATATGCACTACCTGCAAAATGGATGTCATTTATCCACTTGAATGATATATGTTTAATATATTTGTATCTTATATTTAAAATAATTATAATATTTTATACATGAACTTAAACTTGATGGTTATTGAGATAATTAAATTTAAATATATGTCTATATGCATTCATTTGCCTAGTATAATGTTGAATCGACCCAATTAAATAATAAGAAGAAAATGGGTAAAACACCTTACATCAGACAGACCCGGCCCGATCCTCAGAGGTGGTTCGTTGTATACGGGAGGCGCCTCGTTTTAACATTTGAATTTTGTACGAAGCGGAGATGCCCCCCCCCCCCCCAATTTGTCAAATATATACGCACTCTTTGTAGCCGTTAGCAAAACTCAAATCCTCCACACTCTGTTCTCTCTCGCCAAATACATTTTCAACCTGTCAGACAAAAATCAAAATTCAACTTTGTAAAAACACTCGTTCCATCCAACAATCTCCGATCTTGATCAATTCTTCCTTTTCAAGCACAGGTAAAAAAAATTCTGGCATTCGCTTTTGCTTTGGTGTTCTTATTGTTTTGGGATCTTGATGGGTAATTAGACTTATTTTAAGGTATGGAATATAAAAGGAGCACAACGTCAATGACGCCGGATCATAATGGGAAAGCGGGAGTTGGAATGGTAGCCAATCCGATGCCGTTTCTCACTCCTAGACCCGAGCGGAGGCGTCCGGAATCTAGAGGTATCGATTGGAATTCTAGTAAAGTTGAGAAAGATCGTGGTGAAGTTAACATCCAAGTTTTGCTCAGATGCAGGTACACTTTCTTCATTTTTTTTTTCGATTTCTAGTTAGGTATTTAATTTCATGTGCGTTTAGGGTATGTTAAAATTCAGCTTATAGCACTGATTCTTAATTGACTGTCATGTTGTGGGGGATTTGAATTGGATTGTATTGTTCGAATCAAACCAGGGTTTGTACACGTACATTTCGTTAACTATTCTTAGATTTTGTTTCAAGGCTTGTTTTGTTCATGTATTCACAGGCCCTTAAGCGAGGAAGAACAAAAGTGCAACGTACCAAAGGTGATAACATGCAACGAACACAAAAGAGAAGTAGCAATATTGCAAAATGTCGCCAACAAACAAGTAGACAAACTCTTCACCTTTGACAAGGTACATCCCTGAATCTATAATTACCATGAATGTGATTCAAAAAGTTATCTAATTCTTATTCCTTTTTAAAGGTTTTCGGGCCCAAAGCACAACAGAGATCAATATACGACCAAGCAATCTTTCCTATTGTAAATGAAGTGCTTGAGGGCTTCAATTGCACAGTTTTTGCATATGGTCAAACTGGTACTGGTAAAACATATACAATGGAGGGAGGGATGAGAAATAAGGGTGGAGACTTACCTGCTGAGGCAGGGGTAATTCCAAGAGCAGTTCGCCAAATCTTTGATACCCTAGAGGCTCAAAATGCTGATTACAGCATGAAAGTTACTTTCTTGGAACTTTACAATGAAGAAATAGTTGACCTTCTTGCCCCTGAAGACAACACCAGATCTTTAGATGAGAGGCAAAAGAAGCCAATTTCGTTGATGGAAGATGGGAAAGGCTGTGTTCTTGTAAGAGGTTTGGAAGAGGAAGCTGTATACAGTGCAAATGACATATATACCCTCCTGGAACGAGGTGCAGCCAAAAGGCGTACAGCAGACACCTTGTTAAACAAACACAGCAGTCGTTCTCATTCAGTTTTTACAATAACTGTACATGTGAAACAAGCAACTGTTGGAAGTGAGGAACTTATTAAATATGGGAAGCTTAATCTTGTTGATTTGGCAGGGTCAGAAAATATTTCCCGGTCAGGTGCCCGAGATGTAAGGAAACAGATATATCTTATTCTTTTGTCTTTCACAATTCTTGATTTTTTTTTTTACTGTTTTTTATTTACTTTTGTTCATTGTAGGGTAGAGCAAGGGAAGCTGGAGAAATAAACAAAAGTTTGCTTACATTGGGTCGTGTCATTAATGCACTTGTGGAGCATTCTGGTCATGTTCCATACAGGTTTGTATTCATAATATTTCTGTTAACTTCTAGTAAAAATCCATAGGGAAAATTAACAGATTTATAATGGTTTTTCTGGTCATGTTCTCATATGTTGCTTTGTACAGAGATAGTAAGCTGACAAGGCTGTTAAGAGACTCACTTGGTGGAAAGACCAAAACCTGCATCATTGCAACAGTTTCTCCATCTGCTCATTGTTTAGAAGAAACATTAAGCACTTTAGATTATGCACATCGTGCTAAAAACATTAAAAACAAACCAGAGGTCAGAATTTATAATGGCTATCCCCTTGATTTTCTTTTATATACATTACCCGTATCTGAATTCATATATTTTGATACAGGCAAATCAGAAGATGTCTAAAGCTATGCTTCTCAAAGATATGTATTTGGAAATTGAAAAAATGAAACAAGGTTTGATGACTCACACTGCCATTGTCCATAGTTTTTTTATGCATAATATAGTTAGAAGTTATGATTCTATTGAAATATAAACAGATCTTAGAGCAGCTAGGGAAAAGAATGGTGTATACATTCCACATGAAAGATATGCACAGGATGAATCTGAAAAGAAGGTATGCATATTTTAATCTCATTAGCATACCATCTTTTCATTTATAATGTTATATTGTTGTTATGTTGATCATTGTATCATTTTACAGTTGAAGAGTGAAAAGATTGAGCAGCTGGAGATTGATCTAAGCATCAGTGAGAAGGTACTACTCCTTCCTCTGTTTCTAAGAGAAATATATCAAATACTACTTGACGAATCATTTATCAATTAAATTTTTTTATTTAAATGCAGCAAGTAGATAAATATCGTGAACTCTATGAAAGTGAAGAAGAAAAAAGATTGAGTCTTGAAAGCGATCTCAAAGATTGCAAGGTATGCAATGGACATTGAACTTACAAGTGGATATAGTTTTTAATTTTTTTTTTATCTCATATTCCCTGTGTACACATTCAGGAAGATTTGGAAAAAAGTAACAAGTCCTTACTGGATATTCAAGGAAAGCATAGGGAAGCCATGTCAATGTTGAAGAAAAAGGAATCTTTCATCTCCAAACTTTTAGATTCAGGTCAAACATAAATCTTGACTTTAACTAATCCATTAGCTTCTTTTTATGCAAAAAATTTTATATTTTTCAATCTTGTCATCAAAACAGAAAACTGTCTAGTTGAACATGCAAAAGGTCTGCGTAACAAATTACAAGATGCATCAGAAGACATTACTGGATTGTTTTCAAAAATAGGTATATTGTTTTTTCCTCTTTTTAATAATTATATTTGTTATGCTGTATGCATAAAAAGTAAAGAGTAAAGTATGTTGCTGTTTCCTGCAATTTGCTTAATAACAAAACTAACCAAAGATAAATTTTCATGTATAGATTATAAGAGCAAGTTAGAAGCAGAAAACCAAGGGCTACTTTTGTCATTTGGTTGTGAGCTCGATCACAGCCTAAAAGATCTACAGAAAGTTGTATTGAGTTCAGTTTCACAACAGCAGCAACAAATGAGATGCATGGAAGAACATGTCTCTGTGTTTCTTGATACTAAACATGATGTAAGAAATTAGTTCTATTGTTTTCCAAATCATTTTTAAATTTTGCAATTTCTGATTTACTGAATTTATTTATCAACCAGAAAACTGAGGTTTTGGAATCAAGGATCAAGAACATAACAGAGACATACACATCAGGCATGAAGGTATTAAAGGAGCTTGTTGACACACTGCAAACAGAAGCTTCTTCTGATTTGGTTCATATGAAGTCCAGAATATCAGATCAAACATTGGCAATCGAAAATGTAAGAAATCATTAAATAAAATTTAAGGTTAAATAGTTAATAAAAACAAATCAATGATGTGAAACATTCTTTCATGCAGATCTTTGAGAATGCAGTCATGGAGGCTAAAAATGTCACATGTGATATTCAGAATTCTATAGCTGATCAGAAGCAAATGCTGGCTGTATCTGTTCAACAACATGAAGAGGTATAAACACATCACAACAAGGGTGTTCTTATTTTAACTCTTAAATTTTATAATTATATTGTTACTCGTTTCATAGTTTATATCTCATATTTTGTTTTTTATTTGTGTAGGGACTACATAAAAGTTTGGAGACTTCACACGAAATCTCAAGGGCAGTAATTGGTTTCTTCAACAATCTGAGTCAGCGAGCTACCAAACTCATGAAAGTTCTTGAAGAAAATCATAAAACAAGATCACATCAGCTAAATGCATTTGAGAAGAATTTCAAGGTAAAAAGGCAATAGGAACCATAGCTGTTAAAAATTTTAAATGACCATTTTGCCCTTGGACAAAACTGAAAAAAGATTAATATACTCTAAAGTTTATAAACCAGTCTATAATCTATTTCCTATTTAACAGGAAGATGCAGCCAGAGAAGAACAATTGGCAATAGAAAACATTTCAACAATCTTGAAGAATTTGATAGCAAAACAAACTTCAAGGGTAAGTAGGAAAAATTCATCCTGTTTTCATATATACATGTCATATAAAAAAAGATTATTAAATTCTAATAATCCATATGTTGTTGTCATCCAACTTCATTATCAGGTTTCTGAGGCATCACAAAATCTTGACAACTTAAGTTCACAAGACAACAAGATCTTGCTGCAAGACATATCCAACATGTTGCAGACATCAAATGATGGAAAGACTGAAGTGAATGAATATATAGAAAAGGCGAAAACTCATTATACAGAAGCCATGTTTATTTCAACTCAAAATCAATCAATGATGGAGAATTGCTTTGAGGATTGGTAAGATTTTTTTGAAGCATTCGATTAACTTTTGCTAATTTGTTGAAGTCACTGATTTTATTTTTTTATATTCATGCAGTACAAATAAGGTTGGAAAATCCTTGCAACACTGGAACAATACAGAGTTGGTGATTAATCGTGTTAATGAGAGCAGCATAGTTGAGACAGAGTTCTTTATAAGGTAATACTACATATCATATACTTATATTAATTTAATAATGGTATAAAAAGTATAAATGAAACGACCTAAGGGGCATAATAGTCATTTTAAATGCAACATGGACCAAAAATGTTACAAAAATAGCCAGTAAGGACCAAAGTTGCAAAACAGGTTTATTTTATGACATGATCTAAAAAAAGCACCTAAACATAGGGACCAAACATGTAATTTAGTCTTTATTTTTGCATGTTCTTGACCACTTAATCTTTTGTTTAGTGAAAAACTTCATGTAAACAAACTTAGAAGTGAAGAGATTGCTTCAACACACGTGTCAATGGATGCAAAATTCCATTCAGATGCTACAGATTTGAAAGCATCTGTTATTGGTAATCTTTGTGAATTAATCCCTTTTTTTTGTTTATAAAACATATGAACCAATAACTTAATCGGGTGAATAAATTGTGTCACAAGCAGATTCACTCATGGTGGATAAAGAAATGAAGAAAGAAATTGATTCTGTGTCAAAGACATGCTTACATCACCTTACATCCTTAGAAGATGAACATGATGATAGAACAAAAAACATGCTAAACCAATCCGAGTGCCTAAAGAAAGATTACAAGGTACAAATTATGATTTTTTTTTATTGCTTAAAACAAGAAAACGTGATTTTTGTGTTAATATGTGTAACAGGTTGATGATGATTCTGGTGTAAGAAAACGTGAAATAGATGTGCCTAGTTTGATATCCATAGAGGCAATGCGAACACTTGCTTTTGAAGATCTTTTAGCAACAAATACTGCTTATGAAAACCGACAAAAGTGTGTGGAAAATGGAAGCAAAGTGAAACATCATCAACATTTAAGCTCGGGGTCTCCTAACCGATGTCCTTTTGCAGATGTTAACTAATTTTTTGGTGTAAAAGGATATGTCAAGGTGAAAGAGCTTTTTAAAGCATATATATAATTATAGTTTCGTGTTCTTAGTGAAGTTCGAAACTTTGTTATGCACTCATCTACTAATGAGTGAGAATGTTGTAATGACATTTGAGTAAAATGAATTTTGATTCGTGTTATCATTTATCTTGTGTTCGTTTTGGATGTGGCAATCGGGCGGGTCGGGGGAGTTTGGTAACGGTCATAATGGGACGGGTTGACCCGTTAATGTTCAAATAGGTAGGTTGTAATCATTTGAACACAAATTTAGTCAACTTTAAACCTGTTTGACCCGTTTCCTTTTAAAAGATTAATTTTAAAATATAATAGGTAGGTTGTAATCATTTGAACACCCGTTTCCTAAACTTATTAATAAAATATAATCCAAATTCATTTGTTTTTGTATGGAAAGATGTAAACACTAGTTTTTCCGAGCAAATATTAATATAGATAAACAAAAAATGAGAAAACAAGAGATGAAGAGATGCCATGATCTTATATTGTAAGTTTAATGCTAACAAGATTAGGTAGTAAAAGAGTTATCTTAAATTATATCTTACTTTCGGTTTTTATGAATTTCTATGAAGTATTAACTATTAAGTTATAGATTTTATAGAAGTTAATTGTATTGATTTTAGTTGGAAAATTGGATCTAACTAATTTCGCAAAATGGGTTTTTCTATTTTTGAATACGAATTTCGAACCATAAAATTTACTAAAATGTATAAGTTGTTTTATAGTCATGTTCTTCTCTGTAATATCTTCATTTTAATCTATTATACGCTTAAAACGGAATTAATATTAATGATAAATTACTCTATAAACTGAGTAGTTTGATGAATTTGGAAGAAAAAAAAAGCCAAGTAAATTTTTATCCCTCCTACCGTCCTACATAGGTGGGAGAAAGAAAAGGGAGAAAAAGTTCTAATCCTTGAAAGATGGAACCAAATGTATAATTTGGCCTTAATATTAGTATTTAACATAAATGATCTTTACCGCTTGGTTGGTTTTGACCGCAAGAAGGAAAAAGAAAATGGATTTGTTTTTTTATTATTTTTATTATTATTATTATTATTATTATTATTATTATTATTATTGCTTTTGTTCCTTTCTGATAGGTTTTAATATCAGTTAGGAAAAAAAGGTTTTTTTATTGCATCAAAATGGATTCCAACACCACCCTAAAATTCGTTCGAAGGAAATCTCGTGTTACTAGCCCAAACATACCAACTAGAAATATTATTCCTTTTGATTTGTCGATACATGCTTATCGACCCTAATTAGACGCTCATATTCATTCCACCCTTCAATTTCAAGTGCAAAGTGTTCACCAATATTACCCTATGTCCATGCCAAACATAACCCTAAATATGTTCACAAACTTGATGACTTTTCCAGATCATAGTCCACAAACCCAATGTAACACCAAGTTCCATATATAATTATTTTTGTGATTGTGGACATTTAAGGTTTAAAGTATAAGGTTTTTGGTGGCGACGACATGGCGACACTCGATTGAAATGTGCCTTCATTGTTGGTCATGACATGGCGGCTGGCTATATGTAAAACCCTAATTTTCGGGGTTAGTGCCTCTATTTAAGGGATGTGATGGTTAGGGTTTGCACACCCTCAGCCTCCATCACCTCCCTTTCATCCCAAGCAAACCCTAGCCTCCATTTTTGTATTCTTGAAGTTTAAGTGGTGACTTTTGGTGTCTTGAAGAAGAAAAAGGTGTTCCTTGAGCATAGATCCAGCAAGCAAGCTTCTCCTCCACATTCTAGATATATTTTGGTCCATTGTGAGATGTTACTTGATACAATGATTTCTATGGCTATGTTTTGGGAACAATGTTCATATGACTTATGGTTTTTATGAAAATGGATTTTAAGAATCAAAAAAATTTACTATGGTTTTTGGGACATTACACCCAACCCCATCAAACCCCCACAAAACAACCCCACCGAGCCATACCCCCAACAAGCCAAATGACAACTTTTTAACGGAAACCCAACCTCCGTCACCCTGAACCAACCCCCTCCCAACGATAAAGGAAAGGGAAATACAACCCCTGTGGATTCCATAGGAAGAATTTGTGTTGGTCAAATCATGGGTCGACATATCCAAGAATGTGGAGACCGAAAATTCATAATCGACAAATCATTTTTGGCTATGTGTTACCAAACGATTTTATGAAGAAATGGGTCTTAGTAGGTAACGTAGAAAAACCGATTGACAACAAATTTTCGGGAGATGAACAAGAATATCACAAAGATGAATGTGTTATACAACATCCTAAAAAGTAAAAGGAAAACAGAGAAAGTGATGAAGACATTCTCATCGAGGCATATGATTTGTTTCGTGAGGACACGAAGGGAGGCCATTCAAATATGGCGAGGCTTGGAAAGTATTAGCCATGAGTTTGAGATGGAACATATGCAAAATAAAGAAGCTAAAGTCGTTGCATAAAAAAAACAAAAATGTCATCGACAACTTACACATCTTCATCTGATGCTTGTGTCGGGCTAGACATAAACGACGATAACGAGCACGAATTAGAAGAAATTGCCTGCACGATAGGTAGAGACAAAGTGAAAAGGAAAATGTCTTCTTCAAATGCATAAGGATTCAACAAAGCAGAGGAAATACGTAAACTAAAAACAAGTTTCGAACAATACAACTTGAATTTTAGTGAACGTTTTACATTTGAGAAAGACAAAATAGCCCCAAAAAAGAAAAAAGGTGCGGAAGGAAAAACAAAAGACGCGTGACGAAAAACAACACATCAAAGGTACAGAGTTTTTGATGAAAAACACATATTTTTACGTCTTTAGAAGTATAAATATATCTTTTAGATGTATAAATATATATATTTTTTGTTTTACAAATATAAATATTGTTTCTTATACTTTAAAAAATATAAAATATGTATTTAAAAAATAAAAAATTCATACTTTAAAGTAAAAACATAAAAGATTTATAATTTTTTTGATTTTATACGAATTTAATTTCATAATGATGTGGAAACCTATAATAAAGACGAAAACTAGAAAAAATTTCAAAGTTATAAAAGTAATAATAAAAACAAAATCCAGAAAAATCTCAATTTTAGCGTACCTAAAAATAATTTTGAGACTGAAGAGCATTTTTTTTTTCTCAAATTTTAGCACATTTATATCTTTAACCTTTTGTTTCTATTTGTGTCCTCTTCTCCGTTTTTAGAAATATAAATATAAAAATAAAAACAGAACACAAAGACATTAGCACGGCGCTTCGGCTTTTCCGACACAATAAAAAAATACACAAATAGATTTTTTTATTTCAAAATTGCTAACGTGTCGCTCCACCGAGATATAGGCCCAGAAGGTTATAATCCTCTGCAGCCAATTTCACCTCAAAAGCATCTTTGGTTTCCGGCCCACAGACATCCATCAGCCCATCTAATCAACGAACGACTTTGATCTCGCCACGTGTACAGTAGTACATGATCCAGAGATGCTAATCGTGCAGAAGACCATCTTTGATCCTTTCTTTAAACTAAAGCAAAAACTAAGCAAAAAATCCACACAAACCCTGCACTGCTTAGATCTCGCCGTGATCACCTTCCGTACAACACTCGCCGGAATCGGTCGATCGGAGATCATACGGCCGCCGGTAAACTTTACCAGAGATATAATATTTGTGTTAAGTTCAATGTGTTTATCAGTTTATCTAATCTGAGTAGTAAATCAAAGAAACATCCAAGGTTGCTTGATTTTCCTTAGGGTTTGACTATTTTGTTAATCTAATTTCATTTCAACATTTCTGCATTCAGCTTCAGTTTATGTTTCGAAGTATGAGAAGTAAATTGCCGAATACCTTTTGCGAGACAACTGAAAGTTCATTACATCGTTGAAATGATCGGCTGAAGTTGATGTTTAAATATTGTCTCTTGACTAAGAGACCGGATTAACACTTGGAACATGAACATACTTTTAAGTTCAAAATATTTGTTAATCAACTGTATCTTAATGCTTCGTAGTTTAATCTGCTGCGACTTAAAATAGCTAAAATCACTACATTTTTAGCTTCGAGTATTAATCATGATTTTGCGAAACTCATATTTGACTTGTTTTTTTTCCTTACATTTTTTATAAACTAAGCATCATGAAAAGGACTTAAACTCGACAATGTAATAAGTTACAGAAAGTTATCTTTGTTAATACAGTGCAATTTTTGCATATCATTTCTAGTTTTGTTAGATACTTTCCTAACAAATTTATATGACTGTGTTTCAGTGAGCTCTAATCAACGCTGCAAGATGGTATGCTCATTTTTTCATTCACTATAAATGCTAAGTTGACAGTTCTTATACTCATTTGGGAACATCTAAATGATATATCATTCTGAAATTACTCATTGTCCCAATCTTTCCAGAACAAGGACTTCTGGATGCCAAAAGCTCCAGGAAATTCAAATGATAGTGATATAGCTCACAATAATTCTCCTAGAAGCGACCTCAAACGTTCTCAACAATGGTTCATGGAAGGTGCTGAAGCAGAATTATTTCCCAACAAGAAGCAGGCAGTTGAAGTTCCACACCCCAATTCATATACTGCACTTTTAAACTCAAACATTTCTTCTTGGGGAAATTCTTCTAGTTTCCACTCCCAATTCACAGAAAGGCTATTTGATGATGAAACATCAAGTATCAGTTACAGTGGGATTAGAAAAGTCAAAGTCAACCAAGTCAAGGAATCCGAGGGTTTTGTATCTGTTTCTTTGGGACATACCTATTCCACAGGGGATAATATTAATAATACCATCAATGATCATGCTTATAGCAAGGCTGATGATGAGTCCATAACAATGGGACTCTCTTTTGATAGAGGAAATGACAGCATGATATCAATGGCAGACACTTTCAACAGGGGGGACAACAGTTTTATGTCAATGGGTGAGCCTTATAGCTGTCCATCTGCCAGCAAGGATAATAGCAATATTACATCAATGACTCAATCTTTCATCAAAGAGGATGATAATAACATAGCTATGGTTGCCTTCAATGAACATAGTAATGCTTTATTGATGGATCAGGTTTTCAACAAGGATGACACAATGAGCAAAACTGATAGCAGTGGTTTATCAATGAGACACTCTTTTAGCAAAGTTGAAAACAATATCATCTCTTTTGGTGGATTAAGTGATGATGCTGATAACATGAATTCTTCCGGAAGGCTTGTATGCAATTATGACTTTTTAATGGGACAGCCTTCAGTTCAAAGATTAGAAGAACATGGCTTTTCTGAATCTACAAGTGATGCACTTGTTAGTGGTGTACAAGTAGATACTATTTCAAGGAAAAAAGATCAAAAAGGAAATAAAAAGGCACCTCCTAATAATTTCCCTTCAAATGTCAGAAGTCTTTTATCAACTGGTATGCTAGATGGGGTTGCTGTGAAGTACATTGCATGGTCAAGAGAGGTAGATGCTAATTAACTAAAGGGCTGTTTTTTTCCCATTAAGTCCTGTATGAGTAAAGTCACTGAATGTGCAGTGATGTTTGTCTGGATAAAGTGTTCCTTTCTAGACTGAATACAAACCATTTCAATGCGACTAAATGATCATTTTACCCTTACATTCCAACAAACAGTTTTTACAATATTCATCAATTTTAACGCGAGAGGAAAAAAGAAGGGAAAATTGTTAAAGGGTTGGTGTCTTAATACATTAAGTCAGGCTATTTGGCTCAACCCATTAAGTCATTATGACGAGATTAAGTCAAAAAGAAACATCCATGTATAGCTGTACAGATTAATTGTTTAGTAATCCATTAAGTCCATTAAGTAAAAAATAAACACCCCTTATTGTCATGAGCTCCTTTGAGGTTATATTATTTACTAATGTGTCATAACTCATATGCATGGTAGAAGGAGCTCCGTGGTGTTATCAAAGGTGCTGCCTATCTTTGTGGCTGTCAATCATGTACTTTCTCCAAGGTGATTTTTTTTGCATATGGTCTTATTTATGGAAGCCATTTTGACCTCCTAACAGTTAGATATTTGACTTTTTAAGGCTATTAATGCTTATGAGTTTGAACGTCATGCTGGATGCAAAACAAAGCACCCGAATAATCACATTTACTTTGAGAATGGAAAGACAATATATGGGGTTGTTCAAGAGCTGAGAAACACGCCTCAGAGTGTGTTATTTGATGTTATTCAGACAATTACCGGATCGCCAATCAATCAAAAATCTTTTCGACTTTGGAAAGGTACAATTTTTAATTATTCTTCATTTAATATGTTTCCTATTTCCAGTTATTACTGATTCATCTTCATGATCCACTTTCTTTTTTTTCAGAATCATTCCTGGCTGCTACACGGGAGCTTCAGCGGATATATGGGAAGGAAGAAGGAAAGATTGTGTCATAGATCTGATTTTAGTAAGGTATGACATGTTCATGTTTTTTTTTTCATGATTTTACGTATTATTTTAGATGTGATGTCACTTTTAGCAATTTTATTGTCCTTGTTATGTTGGATGGAGAATCTGATAATGCAGCAAACAGTGTCACCATTTAGTAGAAACTGTGCCTTTTTGTAGGCCACCTGTTATAGTAGATAAAGTTCCCTTTCTAAAAAACAAAAGTTTCTGTTTTTCCTATTAAGTTTTTAAAAACATAAGCATTACCATACAAGAAAGGGCCAGTGCTAGTAAATAGCAAACAAGTTTCAAAGTTTTTCCACCTTTGGTCACTCAAACACTTTTTTAAGGGGGGCTTTTAGTTCATGGGATTTCAGAGGATTTGGTCGGAATTGGATATTCAATTCCAGTCCAGTTGATTCCTGTGCTTGGTTGTAAAATTGTATGGAATTGAATTCTGTGGGAATTCATGAAATACCTCACCTGTAAGATTTCACATTCCTTCCTAAAATCCATGAAATCAATTCTTGTCATTTCATCAATCCTTAAAATTACACAAAATACCAATTAACCCTATAGGCCTATAGTTTAATCCCACAAATAATAATAAACTGTACTATTTGATAATAGAAGGTACATACCATTTTTAGCCTTCACAAAGTGTAAGATCTAGTTGTGCTTTTCATGATTATAATAAATTGTTTCCTGGATGTCACCACCAACACAAGCAAATAAAGCACATCCACTCAGGCACTCACCCGATAATAGATTATTACTTTCACATAAATCATTGGATGGGAAGTGGGAACAAAGAGCACTGATGTCAAATAAAAAAGATTTCATTCAAAGTTAATCATTTATATGTTTTTTTATTATTTTTATTTATCAACACTCAGTTTACAACTTCCAATCACTTATATGCTGCTAATCCATTCATGTTTGCATTAATATTATTATTACTTATAAAGGCACATCTGTTATTATTATTATTATTATTATTATTATTATTATTATTATTATTATTATTGAACTCGAGGTGACCCCAAGGTTGAAGCCTGTGGGATTTGAACTTGGGTCAGCTCCTTTTTGGAGTATTTCATATCCAAGTGATAACCACTAGGCCACATTGATGGTGGTATCTATTATTATTAATTTGTTGCCTTATTTAAACAAATATATGTTTATCAATGTTTGTAATTCACTTTTTTACTTAAGTTGAATTCAAGCTTCGTAAACAATAAATTAACAAAAAGTTCATTCAGATATTTTTTTAATCAAGTATTCAATTTTTCAGCGAATGAAACTAATCATTAGATATGGTACTTCAACATGAGGCATACAGATAAAATAGTAATATTAGATATGGTACTTCAATATTAGGGATACAGATAAAGTAGGTTAATATATATAAAAAAACAATTAAGTTCTAAAAAGCTACCATCTGTAACAAAAGTTCAGTATCTCATACATTATGTTTAATCCCTTAATTTCCACCATCTATTTTTAACCCCAACCAAGAGATAAATGTCCTTGTTTTTTACCACCTCATGTTGGGGGTGAAATTTCTCTTTAACTTTGTTTGATAAATGGATGGAATTGCTTTGGAGGTTGACCTTTACTGTTAGCTTACATCACCTGTCTGATTGTTTTTCTCACATACTTTATCATTGGTGCACATATCTCCATTTGATACTTTGATAGTGACCTTGTGACAACAATTTTCTTCACATTCTAATTCTATTCCCATAATTTTCTTTTCTTGTGCTATTTGCTCATCGATAGGAAGTGATGAAAGCTTAGTATCCTTGCTTTTACCCCAGACAACTAGATAGAGTCCCGCAACAATGACAATGGCTCCAATAACCCTGTCAGAATAATTTAGATTAGGTGGCTGTTTGGTATGATGGAATGGAATCACAAAGGAATGGAATGAGTCATTGCATTTAATTATTGTGTTTTGGTTATCTTGAGGAAATGGAATGAGTCATTCAAACATGTTGTTTCTTATGTAGAAAGATAACCTCAATGAAATTAAATTGATTAATAAAGAAAGTATGTTATTTTATGAAAATAAACTATAATCAAATATATATATATATATATATATATATATATATATATATATATATATATATATATATATATAGCTAATGCTTCATTCCATTCCCTCTTTAATTACTGCATACCAAACATTAACTAGCTATTGATTTTTTCAAGTTTTTGGTAAATGATCTAGAAATGAGAAAAAAAATTTTACCTTCCTAGGTAAGTTTGCTCGGCTAGAATAATGGAGCCCATGATAGCTACAATTATCATGCTTAGTGGGCTGAATGCAGTCACGAAAACAGGACCTCTGTCTTTCATTATTAGTCCTTGGATGTAGTAAGCGAGACCTGAACATATTATACCCTGCATAAACATCAAGAATTAAAACCCTTTTTTATTATTATTTAAAAAATTATATATTTATATTTAAGAAATATTATATTAATCTGTCCCAACAGAAAGAATTAAACATAGAAGCTTTATTAATTGATGATTATGCAATTAATGAAAAAAAAGTTTAAATGTAACTTGAATTTCCTTACACTATATAGTGTTGCCAGAAGTGTGGTGTCCCACTTAATGGCCCAAACTGCTGTGTTCCCCCTCTCCATCACTAGTGCCACTATTGCTCCCTCTATTGTTCCCAATAAACATATCCAAGCAGTCAAAGAAAGCTCAGCTGGATAAGACTGTAACGTAATCGCCTGCAAATCACAAAAAAAAACATTAAAAAAAAGATTAATAACACCTCACTATCATATCCATGAAAAAATATGAATCCTTACTTGCAAAACCATAAAGCAAGACCAACTAAAGCATCCAACTGTAATCATAATAGCACCCTTTAAAGAATGATGAAGATCCACCCCATTATTTACAACATTACTATTACTTCTTCCTTTTGTCCAAAATAGTTCCAAAATTGGTCCTTTAACAAGTGTCATAAGCATCGCTCCCGCAACAGTTGTAATCGTTCCAATTACTTTCGCTTGACTTCGGATATTCTTTAGGTTCACCTGCTCTAGCCTGAGTCAAACAAAAACCACTAAATTAATTCTAATTCTTTGCATGAATAAATGTTTTACTTTTTTTTTTTTACCTTAGAATGCATGCCATGACAAAAGTTATAGCAGGAAGAACATTGCACATTGAAACTGCAAATGTTGCTGTTGTCGCTTTCATCCCTAGAAAATAGAGATTCTGATCTATAACTGGCCTGCCAAATAAGCAACAAATCATGATTTAATTATTAAATTAGTGTCCCCACATGAAGTAACAAGTTATACTGTGTTTGGTATGCATTCAGCTGAGACCGACTCATCATCAGATCAACGGGACAAAAATTGCAAGTTTTGTGCCGCCATAAAGGTGGAACAAGGTCGGATAGGGAGTTAGAGACTTGTTCTTGATCTCTTGTAAAAAGACGAAAATACCCTTCGTGTACTCATGATCGAAAATAACTATAGAAAACCGAGAAAAACTTACTCCAGTAGTGCAAGAAGCATAAGTTTGATGAAAATGGGGCGAGTCATCTTTGGTCGTATTTTTCTGTTACAGTTGCATGATAATAATCAATGAAAAAAATTAAGATATAGAAAAATAAATTTTGATATGAGAGAGAGAGAGAGAGAAGGGAACCTGTCTAAAACAATGGCGAATGGGGCCATGACAATGGTGGCAACAGCATGCCTGTAAACAACAAACACATAATTGCTCATTCCTTGATTCAGAGCTACTTTTGAAATAACATCCATTCCCGCAAGTCCAAATTGCAAGAAAATCACAGCCAAAAAAGGCTTCCCTTTTCTAAAAATCTCACTCATGCCCTCATGCTTACTCATCTCAATCACACTCACACTCACTACTTGTGCTTTGCTTTGCTTCAAAAAAAAACTTGTATGAATTGTATGAAATAACTACCCCCTTGTGTCTATATATATAACATTTCTTCGGCATGAAAGAATAATGGAAGAAGAAAAGATAATGTGACTTGATCACTTTATACTAACAAGACATTTCTTTATATCTTTTTAAATTTGGATTTAAAAAAAAAAAAAAAAAGCTTTTTAGGTTGACCCTAGTTTTGGAAGATAGTTATAATAACTTAATAAAACATGTTTCGGATGTTTTTCAGGGGTGGAGTGGAAAATGGAGTTAGAAATTTACAAGTTTTTCCAATATGATTGTTGGTAAGTTTCTCGTGGCCGATGTAAATTCCTTTTGCTAAAATTGTGTGTTTTTGTATAACAATGATGAAGTCAGTTCAGTTACCTTAAAAAAACACCCCCCTCGTTTTCAAAATCGTTATAAAAATAGAAATTTACCCATTAGGCACTCAAAAGTTTGACATTTGTGCTTTCCTCATAGGCAATGCACCAATAAAAACTTTACCTCGAATCAGGAATCTTACTTTTAATATTGTCTGATATCTTTGTTTCTTAGATTCATTCGTACCGACTGTTTTTTTGTTATCCGTGGTTTATGGGTATTTCCGTCTTTTCACACTAAATAGATGAACAGACTTCACACCTTTATGACATAATCATAACATTTATCTCCTTTTTTTAGAATCCGTTACATTTAAAAGCTTAAAACGGTTGTACTAATTTTAACATGGTTTACGTAACGTATACCGGGATTTATGATTTTTGTTATGTGATATACGATAGATACGCATATACGGTGTGATTTTTTAGATAGGCAATAATGCAAAGTGTGAGTTGCGTATGAAAGCACTAATTTCTGTTTAACAAAAGCCATTTCTTTTTAAAGGTTTTATGGGGGTATGTATGATTGGTGTAGGGTGATGATATATATATGTGTTAGTGATATGAATGGGGTATTTTTTATATGTTTTCCACGCAACTTATTACTTTTTGTATGGTGGAAAATATGTTAGATTATGTTGTTGCCTTGTTAGGGGACCTTTGTTTTGAGATCAATCATTGGTTGTGTGAACTTGATGCATTCGATGATCCAAGCATTTTCTTGTGTCTTTATGTGTATATGTGGATAAATGATGTTTAAGATAACAAAGGCACATTTAAGAAAAAAATAATAATAGTAAATTTGTAAATAAAAAAAATGTCAATTATTAACTCTTATCCCTGTTAAGTCAAAAACACGGCACTCTAATACTATTATCAACTAGAAACACGTGACAAAGGACTGAAGAGACATGCTGATGGACACACAATACAAGTGACTTGTGTGTGCTTTTTGTGTCTCATTGAGGTTTTCAATTCGTTTTAAAACCCTCAATTATGTTCAATGCCCAACGTTGTTTAGAAACTTGAATGCATTGTGGTGTTGTTAAATGTGTTGTGTCGTGTATGTAGATTCATATAGACTTAAACTTCTTACAGTTGACATGCATAAAAATAAAATTTGCAAATCTAGTATTTGTCATACCTTCATATATATGTACAAGATTAATTGTGTGACATGTTGAAATTTTCACGTTTGGACGTGAAATACACGTTAGTAGATGCTTAGTAAAAATGTAGAGAACTTCTACATAAATGATTATAAACAACAAATTTCATTATCATACTTATCATCATCCGTAATGTGTTAACAAGTATAAGATAAGATGTTTTTGTGACTTAGAAACATGTAATGGTAAAAATTGGATCCAAATATATAGCAATAACATCATTTTAAATTCAAATATAACATATAGGAGTATATGTGCAAAGTTATTTGGATAGTAGATATTGGTGGTTAAAAGAGCTCCTAATAGTTGATTTTGTTTTAAATGTTTTCTTATGATATATTTATTCTTTAATGATTGTATATATAGACTATTTTATAAGAAAAGAATGAAGAGTACACGTAAAGTGAAGTGAAGCAATGATTTGATGAGAAATTTATTTCATTATGTAAAAAGTTGAGACGATTCTTGTTTCCGCCAATAATCCTTAACATCGAAAACTTTTGTATAAAACGTTTATTCTAGTACAACTTTTAATTGATTTTTACGTCACATGTATTTCGTTTGCTTTATCCATTAATCTTGCTTTTGGATGGGTTCTATTATCTGTTTGTTTTGAAATTAAATATTGTACATTCAGGGGTCGATTTGTCATTTGTGGTTATCATGCATGAATTTGTAGTGTTAAAAAGAATAGAAAATAATAATAATAATAATAATGATAATGATAATAATAATAATAATAATAATAATAATAATAATAATAGTTAGCAGTGCACCATTTAAAAATAGAATTGCTATTATAATGCTTAGTCGAAAATTCTAAATCAACCTTTTTAAAGTCATTATATTTTGAATTACAAGAGTCTATAACAAAATTATTTTATTCTCAAGTGATAGTTATAATTTAGTGAGTGCAAATTTTAAATTTGGGTTTTTATTTGGATGCATGAGTTATATATGTCGGTATACACATAAGTTCAAATTTATTCGTGTTTTCTAGAGTTCCTGTACAAGATAGATATCACAAATCGCAATTGTGTAATATGACTAATATCTCATGAATTATTAATATATATGTTACTGGATAAATAGCAAATATTTGCATATAGCTTTTCATATCTTAAAAAACTGAACACGAATTTGGGATATTTTGTTGGGTGGAATCCCCCTAAATGATCCCTTTTGGGTGGCGAGGGAACTATGTTTTCTTTCTTCTTCTTTTCGTTGTGGTATCGATACTTTTAGTATCGTTAATCTACACTTAAAGCTATCAACTTTTTTAATTTCAAAACAAGTCATTTTTTTATGCTATTTGAAACAAAGCAGATACAACCCATAAAAAATATCCAAGAAATTAACAGGTTTTTTTTAACGTCAAACTATCATACTCCTAATCTAATCCTAAAACATTACTTATGATTATCCATTAGTTAAATGTGTTAATCCGTTTAATTAATTGGATTAAGTTAAGGTTGAAAATTCCAAGATTACAACCCATCGATTTATTTAATTTAATATCAATATTTAATTAACATATATTTAAAAAAATAAAGATAATTCTAAATTCTAAAATTGACAGACTCCTGTTTAGTCACTTCAAATTTCATCATTTATTAACCATTAAACCTAATTGTTTTATTATCCGCTGCTGTTAAAAAAAACCTAATTGTTTTATTTGATTTTCTATTTCCGATGACACAAAACTAATTTAGTCAAGTTCTTTAAAAGTTTATCATTTTTTAAGGTCGAGGGTTCAAGTCCGGTCGTGAACATAAGAATAGATTAGATTTGCCGGTTCAAAAAAAAAAATCTAGTTTTTTTATTTGATTTTCCATTTTCCATTTTTGTTTCTTTCACGATGACACAAAAACTAATTTAGTCGAGTTGTTTAAAAGTTGGCTATCTGTTTGTAGTTTTATTTTTTTATAACTTCGAATAATTATTTGAGTTTTTAATTTATTTAACTATGTATAATTTTTTCCTATTTTATTTATTTTTTAAATTTTGAATAGGTTAATCCGGGTTCAATTCGTCTACCGAACAAGCTGGATTGGAAAAAAAAATGTGTCGACCAGATATCAACTTGTTTGCTAAACATGTTAAGTTTTGTTGAAAACCTCCACCTGTTTAATTAAAAAAGTCAGATGAGGTTCAAATTTTAAAACCGTTTGGCTAAAAATGTTAACCCGAAACCAACTCAACCAGACCAATTATCAACCCTAAAACTAGGTTGGGTGGATCTGAAACGTGAAATTTTTATAACCAATTAGGATGTGTGTAAGATGCATTAGTTAACTTATCCTTTTAAACTTGCAATTTTATGTTTGATGATGCCACTAAAGTAGCTTAGTTTTTTTTAGAGAAGTATTTCAAATAGCTTATTGATAAGCTTATGAATTTCTTTTTCGAATGTACCCTTAACATAAATAATAGACACTAGGTGCGAGACTCGTGTATTACACGAGTTTATTAAAATGATCAAAAGTAACGGTATGAGCAAAAAAAGACTATTCACACAAGTTTTGGTAACCATAAGGACCATGTTCATAAAAAATAAGTAATGGCTGAGTTTGTGACATTTGGTAAACCATATGGACCATTTATGTAAAAAAAATATATGAATTCCATCTAGACCGGGCAAAACATGACACGACATGAGAACCCGACACGAAACCGACACGAAATTAGCGGGTCAGGGTCATAGATTTCGACACGTTTATGTAAATGTGTTGACACGATAATTAAACGGGTAGGGTTAGGGTCAAGACTTTCAACTCGAAGATGACTCGAATATGACCTGTTTAATTATATATTATTTATTATAAATTTCATATTTTTATAAATATATTATATGTTATAGACTTATAGTGGTTCAAACTTAATATTCAAATTTTCAAAGTTACTTAATTTAGTCATCCTCACCACCTATCCCTTTGCTCCCTAACTTTAACGCTTTTCATTTTTTTTTCTAAACTTACTATAAATTTTGTCATTCCATCTCATAACTTCAGTGTTTCACTTTTTCCGTTTTGCATCCAGAACTCCTACTTTTCAACCTTTAAAATATTTCAACCCGACATGACACAACATATTTACAAGGTCTAAACTTTAACCTGAAACCCGACACGAAAATAAATTGGTTGACAATACATGACACGATAATTAAACGGGTCGGGTTAGGGTCAAGCCCTTTCAACCCGTTTAATGTCTTGACACGACACGATACGTTTGCCAGGTCTAAATTTTCATTAATATACATATACATCAATTAATATATTAATACAAAGAGGAATTCCCAAATAGAAAGTTATTATGTACATCTACCCTAATAAATAAGAATGATTTTGCCACATCTCTTCTTCTCCTTCATTTTGACATTTGTCATTTTCTAGATTTTTTTGAATTATTTAATATCCATTTGTTATTTTTATAGTTTTTTTCTTTTTTATTCAAATTCCACATATTAAATGCCACCTCATATTAATTAATTTTATTAATAGATGTATCCAAATGCTTAACATCTCCAATATTATTTTATTAAAGTAGATTGCGACAATAATACAATTATTCTAATAATATTTAATTCACTAAATATTTATAAACTAAAATATTTGAAAAGAGTATTAGACTATTAAACTCATCTCGACCATTAAATATTTATATATTTATAAACTAAAAAAATATGTAATGCAAAGAATGTATTTTAAACATAAAGTGATGGAAAAATTCTATGTTACTAATTAGTTTAGTATGATGAAATTTGTGATTTGTTTTGAATAATGATTCATACGACATAATAGAATTAATGGACTGAAATACACTTTAATGGTATAATAAGAATTTAGAAAAAGTTTAATAACTTATTATATATAATTAAAAAATAAAGGATTAAAAAACAAATTACATATTATTAGCTATTATTTTATAATATTAATTTTAAAACAATTCAAGAGATTGTATGTATTGAAAACACATTTTTGTGACTTTTGATTTGTTTCCTGTTTAGATATATGTCTTAATTAATTACTTGGTTAACCCATTAAACATAAACTCCTAACTAGAGTCCAACCTAGTTGTGGATAACGTGATAAGGGATCCAAACTCTTGTCAAAAAAGCCAAGTGTCACGGATTAGCTAAATGACATTGAATCCGCATTTGTTCTGCCCAAAAAACGGGGCTCCGAGAATCCGCATACGTTGGATAAAGCTTGAAATATACTCCTACCATCACATCAAACTTTAGGGAAACAATTTCAAACAAACTTTTTACGTAATTTAATAATTTATTTATTTGATGTTGTTACTAGTGTGTTTATACTTTATAGGTTCGGATTCCTTAGCTTATAAACTTCTCAACATAAATTAAAAACCCGAAACGAACCAAATTCTTTGTCATCAAGTTGAATTCGAATACGGTTTAGAGTTAATTTTGTTTACCAAAAAATAAATAAACAAATTATCTAGCTGAAAACCAAATTTGATTAATCGGTTTTATTTTTCAATGACAATA